TATATATATAATATATATAATGTTCGAATTAATGCTAATTGTTTTAGCTTTCACTACCACCATACTACCTCAAGGAAGAGCCTGGATCAAAAAACGTTTAGCACCTTGCAAGTAAGTATTGTGCAAAATTTTCTACTTAAATAATTGAAACATGGACAAATCTTTCTTCGTGTGAAGATTTCTTACTATCTTGTGCTCACATATTAAATTGAATATTCCTATCTACGTGTTGACTAAATTGTTTGAAATGAATTTGTCAGGGAATACTAGGCTTTTTAAAGGCCTTTGAAACACTAAAAAATGATTGCAGTGCATGCTTACGCTCTTGATGTCGAAAACTACGCCGACTTCAGCATCAGGGATTTTTTTCGAGAAAGGAAAAAGCGTACCGGCCTCACCGATCTAAGCAATGTAAGTTGGGTTGTTATCCAAACTATTTTGAAGAATATGTTTAAAATTAAGTGTATTGCAGGCCGTTGCAAATGGATTGCACATCAGGCCAGAAATCGAGGAGAATTGTCGTGGTGGTTTAACTTCCAAACCTCGAGAAACTATTCCACCTGTAGAATCGGACCGTTCACCATCGTGAATTTCAGAATTTATCATTTGTCATTTACTGCAATGATGATGACTTGTATAGATTATTTTTCAATATGGGTAATATAGCTGCTACGTAATAAAATCGTTAAGATATATTTTTATCACTTGTATACCCAAAACTCATAAAGTCATCATGTTAGCAATAAATGAAGAATACATCTCTAATACTTGTGCGTCATCTTTTTCTTTTTTTTTCCACTATTTCAGTCAAATATATTCATACGATTAAACCATATCTTAATTACTTTCAGTCCTCCGCAGATGGAACGCTCTGAATGTCCGTTAATTGATACATTCGTAAGTTATAGGTTTAGTCAAATTTTATTTTTATCAATTCTTTGTAAAGAGGGGGAACGTTAATAATTGTAATAATGAAAAAGTAACTTCAGATTTGGGCGCATCAAATGCAGAGTGACGACACCACTTCGGTGTTAGATTTGTATTATGTCCCAGAATATGCATCTGACATTTTTGAGTATTTTCGATTTCGAGAGGTTTATTTCTTTTTTAGCGCACCAGTAGCGATTTAGAATTTCAATCGCCCCAGCATTACTGCTTTGCGTGTTTTCCATATTTTCAAATAATTGCTGTACTTTTCATTTTTAGCAGCGTTTCCGCTCAACTGATTATTTACCAAATCATCCTAAAATGCTGAAAGTTCGCCGTGCAAAGGTTGTTGATTGGTTCTCTAGATGTCAGGAAACTTTTAAAGTTTCTCGTGACGTGTTTTACCATTCTGTCAAGTTATTTGATATTTATTTATCTCTGTCTAATAATATACAACAGATCGATTTCCTTGCTGCAGCCGTGTTTATTCTAGCTACTAAAGTTGATGTACGAGATTTTTTAGATTATACATTTGATTATCAAATTCTGACTTGCTATCTTTAAGTCAATCGATATCCTAAATCAGTTATATGCAATTATAATTTCAGCAACAATTTGCCCCACAGGCACGGGAATTCTGCAACTTGTCTGCCACCTCAAGAGCTCAGACGCTCCAAAAATACGAGCGAGAAATCTTAATCACACTTAACTGCGATATTAATTTTCCACTTTCATATCGTTTTCTACGACGTTTTGCAATACTTGCTAGCCTTGATGGATCGACAGTCACAATGGCGCGTTATGTGCTAGAAACATCACTTTTATTCTATGAATTTATAGGTGTTCGAGAAAGCGTAATGGCGGCAGCAAGTCTTCTCTTGGCATTAAAAATAAAGGAAGCTGACAATTGGGTACATCTAGGTTTTTTTCCTTAAAAACAATTTCTTTAATGCTAAATGCATTCAAACTGTTAAGTCATTTGCTTGTAGCCACCGAGATTGGAATACTACACGGGTTATACAGTGCAAGAGATGGAACCTCTGATGTGGCGTCTGAATCATATGTTGGTAATGTGTCCAATAGTTTTCCCACAATGTCGTAGTATATTTGAGAGATATGCACGACCGTAAGCCCTTATTTTCCGAGTTGCAATTACACTTTTTCCCACGTTTTCATTCCTCTCAAAATAACGATAACATTGCAGTTCGTATCTTCATGTTGCTAATACGGATCCTCTTCCGGACCGGTATTCTTACAATGAACCAGTTGGACCTCCTCCGAACCTAGGATTTCGAAGAGAAGAGTAAGGATTAACCTAATTATAAGTAGAAGGAAGGAAAGAGAAAGAAATGAGTGGTGGCACAGAAAGTATTTTCGGACAGGATTTATCAGCTGCAATCGTTTGCCAATATTCTATCTTCGATTGTTGTTGCTAGTATTCTATTTTAGACTGCTGTTCGATACGTTGATCAAAATTTTAACTCTTTACATCATTCCAGTTACAAAAACATTAAAATGAAATTTTTCAATTTTTATAAACAGCAGTACTGAATTTATATATCTGCGCATATTTCTGAGCACATTATGTTACAATAAATGAATTACCAATATATGTATCGCACTGAAATTAACACGTAATATTTGGAAAACATAACTTCGTTAGGATAAGCTTTACCTAGAAATTTTTTGGACACCAAAATTTAAAAAACAGTGAAAAATGTTATTTACGTTGTTCATTTCACAGGAGGAAAGTTAAATGAGTTTCAGTAGCACATGTTATATTTGACATCATCGATTATTTAAAAACGATTGGTAGAAGCATATGAGGTTTATTGATATAAAGATTTCGACGATTCAAAGTCTGAATCAACAGTTTTTCAGTCAACGGTGCACTCAATTATGGCCACACACATATCTGATATGTCGATCATCGGAATATTGCATAATTGATGTAGCTTTTCTATAAACTGCAAGAATATTGCTTAAAAACGGTGAGCCCGAAGTTTAGTTTTTTTCAACATCTTTTCGTGGAAACATACCTGGTCAGCAATTGCTATTCCATCGATACAAAACGCTGATGTAACAATTATTCCACACGCTAGCAAAAACCAATCTGCTTGCAAGCGAGATAGCTGCCCACTAGAAAACTTTAAAAATTTAAGTCCAGTTATGTCCTCTTACTGTTAATAATGTAAAAAATTTGAAAATTTATGACCATAAGACCACTTGTAAAGAAGAAAAGGCTATTTTTATCTATAAATCCGTATTTAAACTGGGAAGGGGTATTATATTACTTTTTCTCGTTTAGTTCTTAAACATAACTATCAGAATTAACATTAAGATTTTTGCTGAGTGATAAAGTTACCGCTAGACTATCAGAATAAAAGTGCATGCACAAGATGTGTCAGATAAAAAATTTATTGTAACAGAAAACCATGAAACAGCGTATGACGATGGACCCATCACGTTTGCCAACATTTTTCTATACACTTCATCCCAGCAAATAAAAACACAATCCAACAACAGTAAAATGTGCTTCCAGTAGTTGCCTGCATCAATAATGATGCATTGCCATTTGCTTCCTAAAATTAATAATTCATTTTCTCTTCAGTACTATAAACAGTTTGGATTTATTTTACTTTTAAGTCAAGCCAAATTATTTTTCTTTCTCCTCATTAAAGGAAACTGTAGTCGCCATATGTTGTTAAATGAGATATTCTGG